TATACAGCTCCCCAGCCCTTCAGTACCACAGACACTGGCTTATAATGGGATACATATCCCCATCAGGATCGCAGAACTCGTGGTCTCTGCTGGGAAAATTCATTGGTTCTAAGTGGAAGGAAAACACAGAGGCCAGTCTATTAGCAGATGGCGTAGACTATAACCATTCCTTAATCACAAGGGCATTAGAAAGTTTGCTAACCTTGCAGATATGGATTAGATGAAATTTGCTAAACTGATTATGATCAGAGGAGCCTTGCATTCTTTGCCTTGAAAAAGTTACTAAACTATTATTTGTTACGTTAGATATCCCTGGTACATAGGCAAGTGGTCAATCACGGGTCAAACATGTAATCATTTCTTTCAGCCAACAATAGACAAATACTTACAATCTACTATCAAAAGAACTGACCTGGAAAAGGGATTTGTTGTTCAGTTGTTTTTCAATCACGTCCAACTCTTTGGGATTCCATGTGGAGTTTTCTTGGCAGAGATATTGGAGTGGTTTACCATTTCCTCCTCCAGGTTTGCCATTTCCTTCTCTAAGAAAAAAAAGATAAGAACAGACAATTTAAAAATTAGTGGACTCCCCAAAAAGCATGACCAAAACATAAAGTGTGGATAACATATTTCAATTAATCATGATGTCACATGACCAACAAAGTGGAGGACTAGAAATTTTCTTCAGTGTCTGCTGATTGCTACCCCTACCCTGGGAAAAAAAAAAACAAAGAGAATATTAAGAACAACAATTACAGTTATTTCCACAGGACAAGAAAGGAGAAGCCCAGCAAGGCAACAGTCCCATGCATTAATTGTGGAGAATGTCAGACCTTAAGGTGTTCATTTACACCCCTCTAGCACCAGCCTCCATGCTCTGCCAGGGTACACAAACCAACCCATGATCTTGTGATTTTACACCCACTCAGGGATTTCTTTGAGCTTATAGTTTCTTTCTGTGGACCCTACTTATCTCTTTCTGCCTACCAAGTGAGGGAGTGAGGGAATTGGAGGAGGGTAAGAACCATGCTTCCTTTTTCTGTAGGGTAGCCCCCTGTGTTAGGTATAATGTGAGACTGAATTATAAGCCCAGTCTTTATGATCCTGTGCAGAGTGTATCAGTCTGCTAGGGTAATGTGATTCTCCATGTGGAAGCGGTTGAGGAGTTGGCTTCCAGGAGGGTCTTGATGAGCTATCCATATATACATAAATATACATACACACATATAACCTTGGAATATTTATATGTATGTATGCATGTATGTGTGTGTGTATAGTTTTGGAATATGTGTGTGTGTGTGTGTGTTTGTGTGTGTGTATATGTCTTTGTAAAGATTTGGGACCATACCTGGACATTCTGAAACTGGTTCCAGTCTGCTAACCACATAATTAAAAGAAGCCTTTCCAAGTGGCTGCATAGTTGGAAATGATGGTATTTTCAAAAATGACTGGACAACCAGAACCTTCTCTTCTACTGCCTTCTCTTGGTTTGACTCTTTGGATGGTGTCATCCAATAAATGATAGTGCTATAATGGGAAAGACTTTTTCTACTTTAAGACCAATATGTCAACCTATGGAAATGGGCCATGATCCTTTGCATTGCTATTTACTTTGGGTTAATGAGGTTAATCTGGAAGCTTCAACACTGTGAATTTTAAAAGGTCAAGAGAACAAGCAACCAAGAATCTAGAATTCTGGGAATCTGAGTCCATGCCACATTTTTGTTATCATCCCAGCATTGATGCCCTGAGGAGCAAGGACATATCTTCAGGAATGAAAATGGGACCTACCTCAATGGTAGGTGAGAGGAAGACTCATTCTAAAGCAGTGCCACCTTTGTGTGTAAATTTTGTGGGACTGATGTTAAGGAAAAACTATTGAGTCTGAGCCTACTGTCCTCAGAGACTGTTATGGTATAGATGTTGGAGGGAGGGGCTATATTTTTGTTATTGCTATGTCTTTGAAGTAACTAGCCATTTTAAAAAGCTAATTAATGCTCAGTGGTTAAACTGAACATATTTCTACTCAGATACTTATACCTAAAAGTGTATGTGTGTGTGGGAAGGGAGACCATAACCAATTAGGGGCTTGAGATGATAGAATTAGAGAAGAGCTACCTCAGATCCCTCGAGAGTATACCTAAAACCTTGAAGGAGAGATGTAGCTACCTGGCTCTGGGATAATGTAGAGAAACTACCTGCTAGTACTGTAAAAGTACATAATGTCCCCTGCCCACCTCTTCATAGTTACCTCTCCTAGATTTCTACCTTCACCCTTTTCTCCTTGTGTGCGTTTGGAAATCACATTGGTATCATCAAATAACAAGCATTAGATATTCATAAGCAATTAGATAGTACCTAGGGATCAGCGCAATGAAGTTAGCTCAGGTAAAATTTGAAAACAAGTTGATACCAAAAATCAGCACCAAAAATCACAACACAAAAGAAAAAGTAAGACCAAAACAATTAGAATTCATGATAAAAGAAAACTTAAATTAGAATTTCAGTAAAAGAGAAGAAAATAAAATGTAGCTAGAAATAAAATTTTATATAAAAAGGAACTTAAATGTTAAAGAAATGCAATAAAATATAAAACTTTATTATGATTTTGGTATACAGTAATGTTTCTCAATATTAACCAATATTGGGCAAAATTTAACTCAGAGTATAAAATAAATATAAAATGAAAAAATTCAAGAAGAAAAATATTCAAGTTTAAAATGAAAAACACATTGTTAAATGTCTGAGCAATATAGCAAAAAACACACACAAGAATTATAATGATAAACAGAGGAATTATATGTATTATATATACTTATGTAGGTAGAATTATATATATGATTATAATGCAGAAGAAAAAGATGTATGTACATATGTATTTGTATGTGTGAATATGTATTCATGTATTACATAATTATAAAAATTTTAAAAAATGGTCCCCAAATGAGATTCCTACTTAAAACACTAAGTGTCTCAGTATAGCTGTGGAACATGAGTAATATATACTGTCCTCACTTTCTTCTCTCAGTCAGAAAGGGCCAGAGTCAAAACTTTCACAGACCATGCCTGCTGGCTGGGTTCTCCTTTGATCAACCCTCTAATCAACTTTCTCCTTTAATCACTCCTGTTTTTGTCTTCCTTCCTCTTCCCCTCACCTTGACTTTCTCCAGTACCAAGAAAGTTGAGTATTTAACCCCACAGGCTTTGTTCCTAGTGAGTTCTAGCTGCAATGAATCAATGACAAAAGTTAGGTTCTTTTTGTCTAAAGGAGTAAAAGGTTCTGACTTCCCTTACAAATGTAATGCGGGTCTGGTACATGCAGAGACCCCTTCAGCTTGCCTAGCAGATGCAACCTCTTTACGTAGAGGATGCTGGAGAGATAGCTTCTGAGAGAATCCAGATGATATGAAGAAAGTATCTTGAAAAAAAATTGGAACACATGAACATCCTGTAATTGGCTCATATTAGCTTATTGCATGGTTGTGAGTTGCCTTTTTTAAAAATTGATTTGATTCAGCTTCAGTTGTATCTTATGACATTTGTGTCTTGGGAAGTTTGGTGATGCTTTTTCTTATGATGGCCAGTGAAAGACCATGTGGGAAGGACCTTAGGGTCTACTTCTGTCTTAGAAATGGTCCTTTGAAAAACAAAACAAAACAAAAAAAGATAATATAATTCTATTTTGGTGCAGCTAGGTGGCACAGTAGATGTAGCGCTGATCTTGGAGTCAGGGGGACCTGAGTTCAAATCCATACTCAGACACATGACACTTACTAACTGTGTGACCCAGGGTAAATCACTTAACCCCGATTGCCTCACCAAAAAGGAAAAAGAAATGGGCCTTTGTCCTTGGCGTTTGTTCATTCTTTTCCATTTTAGGTGCAGAGAGTGGAGTCTCTGATTTAGTCAGGAAAGCAAACCACAGGAATCTGGGAATTGGAATCCAGACCAGATATTGCATCCAGCCTAGCATCAATGCCCTGAGAAGCAGATAGAGATAATTAAAAGTGACTTTCAGTATTCCAGCCAAATGGAAGCAATCTTTTGACAAACATACTGCAACTGGGAAGAAACATAATGAGACCAAGGCTATGTAGGAATTAAGCCCAGTTTCAAACTTACTCCCTTAGACACCAAGGTGGTGGAGAGGAGAATATACACCAGAGGACTAGGGAAAATTTACATTTATTATTTCTACATCTTTGATCTAAATATTCCTTTTTAAAATGTACCCTGTGTTAAGTAGTTAAATGGAACTGGGTTACTGGTCCTTAACAATGAAAGAAACAAAACCAGTAGAGTTTTGATCAAGTTGTAGCAGAGAAAAGAATTACCCTAACCTCTCTGGAACCCTGACAGCCTATGTGATAAGCCTAGCCCTGAGAGAATTCCAGCTGTACTGCTAAAACTCATGTTACTTTGGGTAAGTCACTTAATCTCTCTTGGCTTTAGGTCCTCATAGGTGCAATGAGATACTTGAACTAGATTACCTCTAAGATCCCATCAAGCTCTTAATCTGTTTTCCTAAGATTCCATAAGTGTTAAATGATATTCAAATATTAGATATCATTGTTATTATATCTAATAGTTATTTAGTTATTGAGCTATGTGTGGGTTTCTGACACAGCAGCTATATCTGTTGTGCTGGTCTCTTGTATAAGCTATGTGATTATCTGATATAGAAAATTGTTTCAAAGGAGAAGTTCATTAATAATAAAAATAATTTCCATACATTGGAGACATATTAGGCCGGGATAATATCTTGTTCTATAGTTCCATGTACTTATATCTAACTGTAAACCAATATAAACTTTAATTGAAATGGTTATATTAATATTACCCTTGAAAATATATTAAATGTTTCAAACATTTTATCTTGTTCACACTATTATAAGTTATTGTAAATTATTTTATCTTATTGACACTACTGTAAATTACATGTGTACATTCTGATCTTAACATTTTTTCACAGTAAGAATAATTTCGTTTTGTTTCTTTAGGTCACTGATATGATGCTTCAGGACAAACCATATCCTGATTGGGGAAAATCAGCTAGAGCTTTCTGGAAAAAAGGAAATATCAGAATAATTTTGTTCTGGTAGGAAATTATTTATTATAAACATTTTGTTAGACCTGCAGACTTATATGATTTATGCTTTATTGTTGGGAAGGGTAATGAAATACTTTAAAGTTATGCTATATGCAAATAATTTAAATCACAACCCTGTTATTATATTAATAGACAACATTTATATTCATAAAAATCAATTCTGTTCTGTCTCTGGGATCCCTTTTGTCCTACCTTGTTAAGGCCCACTCTACCGTACCAGCTCTCTCTAGGCTAAGTTACCTCTATTCATATCATCATGTCCCCATTAGTAACCTGTTCTTTGCCTCTGGATCCTTTAGCTCTGATAGGTCTTATCTTACCAGAGTCCAGGTCTCTGTGCTACTTCCTGACCATTCCATATCATGCTACTGCAGGAGTACCTGCCTCTCACCCCCACACCCTTCTAGCTTCCTTTTATGTCTTGTCTTCCTGCATTAGAATGTAAGCTGCTTGAGGGCAGAGAATCTCCTGCTTGCTTATATTTATATTAACAATACTTATTGCAGTGCCTGGAAGATAGTAAGAACTTAATAAATTCTTTATTGGTCTGTCTGTCTGTCTATCTATCTGTTTATCTATCTATCTGTCTATCTATCTATCTATCTACAAGTATTTGATGTAGGCTAGATGAGTTTTGGAAATTAGAAAAAGAGAATTATGAGAGTGGACTCATGATGGCAGAGTAAAGTGAGCATTTTTGTCGAACTCTCCCAATATGCTTCTCTAACCAATTTTTAAAAAGCTCATCAAACCAAATTCTAAGTGGGAAAAAAGTCACAATGAGTTTTTTTTTTCAGCCCAGACCATCTTAGGGAAAGAGTGGACACTGGTGTGGGAGCTCTGATGGCCTGGAGTGGGGCATATTAGAAACAGCACCAGCTGTGAGTCTTGGACATGGCGTAAGCTGCAGGAATAACAGTGTTACCAGAAGTGCTCATCACCAAGGGACAGTAAGGGGATTTAATACCTGGTCAGAAAGAAATTATAGGGGACCCTTGTGTTATCACTGGGTGCGAGAACAGGCACCATTTGGCAACTTCAATACTCATTACCCTCTTCTGGGGTACTTTCAGGACAGAGAGAAGTACAGTTGCAAGGTAATAGGGACTCTACTTAGGCATGGGTTACAGTTCCAAGGCAGAGAGGAGTTGTAGTAGAGGGAACAAGGGCCCTATGTGGGTAAGGAACAGAGTTAAGTCCAGGAGGGCAGTAACCACACCTCTTCACAGATCACACCACCTTACAAGCACTGAAAAATTTTTAGGCCTCCAGACCTAACTAAGAAAGCAGTAGGACATAAAAAAATCACAAGACCAGATCAGATAAACCTTGCCCTCACCTCCACCCCAGGTGAGCAGAGTCCAACTCTAACATAAAGTCCATAGTCAAGGAATAGACTGGAAAAATGAGCAAACAACTGAAAAAGAACTTGACATTAAAAAGCTTCTGTCATGACAGGGAAGCTCAAAAACTACTTGAAAACATATACAAACAAAGCCTCAAAGAAAAATGTAGATTAGGCACAAGCCCAACAAGAATTCCTAGAAGAACTGAAGAAAGAGATTTAAAAAAACAAAAAAAAACAAAAAAAGGATTTTAAAAATAAAATAAAATTGGCAGAGAAAAGGTTAGGAAAAGAAATGACAGAAATACAAGAAAATTTTAAAAAGAAAATTAATAACTTGGTAAAAAGAGGTACAAAAATGCTGAAGAAAATAACTCCTTAAAAATCAGAATTGACCAAATGGTAAAAGAGGTAAACCTCACTGATGAAAATAATTTCTTAAAAATTAGAATTGGTCAAGTGGAAGCTAATGACTTCATGAGACATCAAGAAACAAAACAAAAAATTAAAAGAATGAAAATATTGAAGAAAATGTGAAATATCTAATGGGAAAAACAACTGACCTGGAAAATAGAGGCTGTGATTTAAGAATTATCAGACTAACTGAAAGCCATGATCAAAAAAAGAGCCTGGACATCATATTTCAACAAATTAGTAAGGAAAACTGCCGATCTCAAAGAACCAGAAGGCAAAGAAGAAACTGAAGAATCAGTCACCTCCTGAAAGACGTCCCAAAATGAAAGCTTCCAGAAATATTATAGCCAAATTTCAGAGCTCCTAGATCAAAGAGAAAATTCTGCAAGCAGCCAGAAAGAAAGAATTTAAATATCAAGTCACAGTCAGAATTACACAAGATTTAGCAACTGCTATTATTAAAGGAGTGGAATGCTTGGAATATGATATTCTGGAAGTCAAATCAAGAATAATCTATTGGCAAAACTAAGTATAATCCTACAGGGGGAAATTAGACATTTAATGAAATAGAGAACTTCTAAGCATTTCTGATGAAGAGACCAAAGTCAAATAGAAAATTTGACCTACAAACATAAGACTCAAGAGAAACATAAAAGGGCAAACATAAAAAGGAATCATAAAAGACTTAATAACATTAAACTATTTATATTCCTATATGGGAAGATAATACATGTAACCCCCAAGAACTATTTCATTGTTAGGACAGTTAGAAAGTCTGCTTAGCCAAGTGGTGTGAGTTTCAGTCTATTTTGTTGGGATGATTGCAAAAGAAGAATTGAAGATGAGAAAGAAGGATGCACTAAGAGAAGGAAGAAAGGAGAGGAAGAATGGGAAAAATTATCTCAAATAAAAGATATTCAAGGAAGAGTTTTTACAATGGAGGGGAAAATGGAGGGGAGAGTGAGCAATGCTTGAACTTCACTCTCATCTAAAGAGGGCAGAATACACATATATTTTTATGTATATATACACATATGCATGCATAGACAGTTGTGCATAGAAATCATCTTATCCAACAAGGATGTAGTAGAGGAAGGAAAAGAGGGGGTGATAAGAGGGAGGGAGGCAGTGGTTAGAAACAAAAAAGACTTTTGAGGAGGCGACAGAAAAAAAGAGAGGACAAATAGAAAAGAATAGGATGGAGGGAAATACATTGTAAAGGTGAATAAAAGGATTTATCTATAAAATGAAGAGAATAGCCGAATGTATTAAAACCAGAAACCAACAATATGTTGCTTATAAGAGATACACTTGAAACAGAAAGATACGCAGAGTAAAAATAAGGGGCTAGATAAGAATCTCTTATGCTTCAGCTGAAGTAAAAAAGGTAGGAGTTGCCAGATAGGGTACAGTAGATATAACCCCAGGCATAGAGTCAGGAATACTCATCTTTGTGAGGACAAATCTGGCCTCAGACAGTGATGATCTGTGTGACCCTGAGCAAGTCACTTAACCATGCTTACCTCAGTTTCCTCATATGTAAAATGAGTTGGAGAAGGAAATGGCAAATCATTCCAATATCTTTGCTAAGAAAACCCCAAAAGGCATCATGAAGAGTTAGATATGACCATAAAACAATTGAACAACAACAAAAGTCATCATAAATAAACTTAATTAAAGGAGATAATCAGGAAAACTACAATGAATTAATACCAATATTGAAGATACATGCACCAAATGGCATAGATCCAAATTTCTGAAGTTAAATGAAGGAAATAGAAAAACAATACTAGTGGGAGACCTTCATTTATCTCACCTCAGATATAGATAAACTTAACCAAGAAATAAATAAGGAGTTGAATAGAATTTTAGAAAAGTTAAGGGGCAGCTAGGTGGTGCAGTAGATAGAGCACCAGCCCTGGATTCAGGAGGACCTGAGTTCAAATGTGGCCTTAGACACATAACACTTACTAGCTGTGTGACCCTGGGCAAGTCACTTAACCCCATTGCCTAGCCAAAAAAAAAAAAAAAAGAAAAGTTAGACATGATTTCAATAAAGATAATGACAATTAGACAATATACCAAAACTTGTGGAATGTAGCCAAAACAATATTTAAGGGAAAATTTAGATCTCTAGATGCTAACATCAATAAAAGACAAAGAGCAGATCAGTGAATTGGGCATGCAACTAGAAAAGGGAATTATAATGCTTATTAGCCCAATTTGACAGTGAAAATCTGGAAATGGACTATATTTTATATTTAGTGTTTTATAAAGGAAGTAGCAAAGAAATGGGTTAGAGACATATAATTTTTCTTTGCCTAATTTGTTGGTGATTTTTAAAAATGTCAATGTCCTTTTCATTTCTCTGGTAAAATAGAGCATTGGATTGAATCTAATAAGATCAAATATAATAAAGATGAATGCAAATTCTTAATTATAAAAATTAATTTTTTAATAATAGATGGGGAGGCAGCAGCACTAAAAAAGAAAAAAAGATGAGGGTTTTAGTGGATTACAAAGTGAAATGTCATCAGTGTGATATAGGAACAACCCCAGTCCTCAAACATGATCTTGGGCTACAAAGGTGAAAATTAGATGATGTCAGGGAAAAATCTTCCCAAGAATTAAAATTGTTCAAAAGTGTAATGAGTTGCCTTGAGAGATGGTTGGGTAACCCCTCCTTGTAAGTCTTCACGTAAAAACTAGATGACCACTTGTCCCTCATATGTAAAATGAGGGCAATAACTGTACCTACCTCTAAGAATTGTTGAAAGAATAAAGTAAGACAATATTTGTAAAGTGCTTTACAAACTATCAGGTACTCTATAAATGCTAACTATTACTATTGTTATTATGAAAGTAAAATGACTTGCATGTAAAAGCATGTAGGAAATCCTCTCACATCTAGATATAGACCTATGAAGTGACCAAGGATTCAACAACTGACACATGAAACATCATGTACATGCAAATTGTAAACATTATTAATCATGGTTTGGACTTAAAACATATATTCTAAGTGACTATTTTTTTGAAGTGTGATATAGTTCACATTTCATTATGTTCAATGGTCAACCCGTACCCATCCTTCCCCTCAAAAAATCTCACAACAAACCACCTGTTTTTATTCATGGTTTAAAAAATTCTAGGTTTATTATTTTTCCTCTAGCAAATTAAAATATTTAAGCTTCTGAAGGAAATGCAGCACATACATTTTAAGTATTTT